ACAAATAATAATTTGATAAAGTGGATCACGTAGTTTTTATGGTGTACTTTTCAAATAAAAGACACTCATTAGTTGCCAAACATCTTGTTTGAAAGGTAAAATTGTAAATTTTGAATTAAGTTTAATGTTTTCACAATACACTTGACACACGACAGTTCTTCCCAAGCTTTCTTTGATTTATGTTTTTATAAGGGCAGCAGTACGTTTATTTTTTAATTCAATACAGGACATTTTGAGTGTAATTTTGTGTGCTTACATTTGCCTTGTTTTTCTGTTCCGTACCCCGTTAGAAACATTAAACCTTCTTTAGGAGAAAAATGGTTGAATATAATGCGAAACATAAATAAATATTTAAATCCACATCGAACGTATGCTGGCAGATTCATGGTCGCTAGTACTGACATGCACACTATATTGAACCTCCTTTAAACTCCATGGAATATAATTAAAATAAATATTCAATCCATCAAGTCTTGCCTTTTTATAACATGATACGCCGATTATTAATCAAAATGAATGTGTTCATGAGTACAGACTACAACAGTTTGAATGAAACTGAACAAAGCACACTAGATATTGATTGCATTGTTGAAACAAATATGTATACCATTCTGGTTTTTTTGTACCTACGTTCAAAAACTGTAGAGCATTTCCTATAAATAGTTAAAGTAAAATAAAACCAACATGCCCACCCGTCCTGTGTGATGTTTATGTCAGGTTTGATTACAATCACCCCAGGCATCTTTGAGGAACGGCTGATGACACGCTCAAATTTTGCCAGTTGGTTAAATTTGATCAAAATCCCGAAACCCCTAACGGAATACCAATAATAATTATAAGATTGCGCCCATGAATGTATACCACAAACATTTCTAAAAACACAAACTTCTAACTCTTATTCGTGGAAATCAAGCTGAAAATGAGTTAGAAAATTCCGTGTTTACGTATTCTTCAGTTGACTTCCTATATTTGTTTTAACGTAAGCAGGTCTTAGTCATGGTCTTTTCTTTTTTTAAGATGGAGGCGTGACCTATTTAGAATTTGTCATGCAACAGTCACGAGCCAGAGCGGTGTCACGAGGCAGTTAGCCTCGCACGCTGATTTGTAAGTATTAAATAAATTTGAAATATTAACTAATATTCTCCAAAAACTGAATTATGTTATGATTTAAATTTGACATTTTCTTCGTCTGTTTTTTCCAGTTAAAAAATTTGCGATCGCTGGAGATGCGTAAAATATACCTTTTAATTATTGTAATTTAATACTTATCTATATATTTGCAGTGTGCAAAATAATTTATTGCAGAATCTTTCATTTCATGGTGCTCGTCTTGGTGTAGGCCAGACAGACATAGTGATATCAGTTTATAAATTAAATTGTTTCGATGTGTAAGTAGGTTTTGGATTTTGGTCTGATTACATATACCATAGCATTTGTTACTGGTAATATTACTAAAACACACACACCCACATTAACACAGGGACTATCTGAGGCGCTTGTATTATTTATTTACATTGTTATATTATTTGACACTTACTTATTCATTAAAACTATTTTTCTCCAAAGTGACTTTTTAATTACATGCAAGTGACCCTGACTTCAGCATCACCTACCTTAATATGGCATTTATCCACAGTACGATAAATATATATAATGGCGGAATGATGTAATTTAAGTAACATTCGCAGCTCAAGTTCATGTTGTATACTTGGCTCGGCAAGCATGTTGTTCATATGCCGATTTACGAGTAAGACGTCAGGACAAAACTAATTAAAAAAATATGATACTCGCGAAATTGACACTCAAAACGTTTTTTGCTGGAGACGTGGAAAAATAATTACCAATAACAATTAAATTAAGCAAGACAGTATTTCAAATTACGACTACATGAATTAGCTATAGCTTGACGACATTAGATTTTTAATTTGACTTTTCTTACAATAGGAGATCAATGAATATGGGTATTTCTAGTCAACAAAGTGTGCTCGTTACCAACACATGGTTATGGACAGTTCTTTATTTTGTTAACAATCATGTACGTCTCATTGCATCGGAC